CAGCCAGCAGTTCCTCTGGCTGACCATAGAGCTGGTCAGAGAACAGAATGACTTCAATCATCTCTATAGTCTAAGAAATCGGAAGCTACGAGCATTTCATCACTTCGGTTTCGCAGGATATAAACAGCGCCATTTGTGAATTTGGAAAGCATCTGATCACATCGATCTTGGTGAGATTAGATAATGTAAAGGCAGAGGAGATATCTAGAGTCTGATAGACCCCAGATTTCTCACAAATAAAATCTATGACAATGCCCATTGAAGATATTTGCATTCTCTGTGATAGCATTAAAAGTGATAAAAAAAAGATATGAAAGGGACAGTGTAAAAATAATTAAAAAAATCTAAATAACTAAAAAAAAAAAGAAAAAAAAAGCCCCCTAGCCCCCCTGCATGCGCGCACCTGTCTGCACAAGCGTTGACCCTGTGCCGGTATGTAAACCCGGTTGCACCATGCATGTGAGGTATCACAGCAAACGTCAGCTCGAGGGCAGTAATTCACTAGACCTGTTTAAATATAAATTGATGACCTGTAAAGGCTTTTAAAGCATTGTCTATTGATAATAAAAATGTATGTACTTTGTTGCCATTGCATGGGCATGTGCAATTTAAAGCATGTCAGGTTTGGTATCTATTTACTCAGCGTAACATCATCTTTTATAATTTGTCAAACAATTGGGCAATATATTGTGTTTCTGTGCATTAAAATTATAAAAAGTGTATTTTTCCCAAAGATTTGCGTTTAAAAAATCACTGCGCAAATACTGTGTGACGTAAAAAAATTTAACACCCACTGTTTCATTCTCTAGGGCCTCTGCTTTAAAAAAAAATATAGTGTTTGATGGTTGAAAGTAATTTCCTAGCAAAAAAAACCCAGTTTTTTCATGTGAACAAGTGTCAGAAAAGGCTTGGTCTTCAAGAGTGGGTGATGTGTGGCATACGCTTCTAATGTTGCCCCTGTTGGCCCTGAAATGCCAGGATAGTAGAAGCTACCCCTCCAAATTACCCCTTTTTGGAAAGCAGACATTCCAAAGCATTTGCTAAGAGGCATGGTGAGTGCTTTGCATATCTCATTTGTTGCCACGTTTTTGGAAAACAAAGAAAAAAAAGCAAAAACATTTTTTTTTCTTTTCTTTTTTCTGTTTCAAAAACCTGGGACAAAAATGATATCTGTAAAATACTCACCATGCCTCTTATCAAATTCCTTGGGGTGTCTACTTTCCAAAAAGGGGCCATTTTGGGGGGGGGGGTGTTTGTACTATCCTAGTATTTTAGAGCCTCTGAAACTGTGATAGTGGGGAAGTGATATGAGGAAATATACCCTTTGAAAGCTTGAAGGTGGTCATTGGATTTCGGGGGCTTGTATGTAGCTAGGCTGCCAAAAAGTCTCTCACATGCGGTATCCCCGTACTCAGAAGAAGTAGAGAATGTGTTTTGGGGTGTTATTCCATACCCATGGCATGCATGAGCAATATATCATTAAAGTGACAACTTTGTGTAAAAAAAACCCCAAAATTGTCATATTCAAAAAATGTGTGGCAAAAAATAAAATGCTGCATGGACTCAACATACCTCTCTGCAAAATCCTTGGGGTGTCTACTTTCCAAAAAGGAGTTATTTGGGGGTGGGGGGGTTGTACTGGCATTTTAGCACCTCAAGAAATGTGATAGGCAGTCAGAAAGTAAAAGCTACAGTAAATTCCAATATATATACCATAGTAGCAGAATACATTTTAGCCTAAATTTATAAATAACTTTGAGTTTATTGGATATTTTTAATAACCAAAAGTGAAAAATATAGTTTTTTTTCAAAATTTTCGGTTTTTTTGTTTATAGTGCAAAAAATTAAAACCGCAGAGGAGAACAAATACCACCAAAAGAAACCTCTATTTGTGTGAAAAAAACCCATAAATTTCGTTTGGGTACAGCACTGCATGAACGTGTAATTACCAGCTGAAATAGCGCAGTGCTGAAAGCAAAAAATGGCCTGGTCAGGAAGGGGAGTAAATCCTCTGAAGGGCAAGTGGTTAAAGGATAAGTTCACCTTTCTGATAACGTTACATTTTACATCCATACTTAGGGTGTTACACATTCAGCATGCAACCTCTCTCCCCTTTTCCCTTATTCCTCTGACAGCAGGTGGGGGATCTTCTCCCCTTGCCTTGTCACAATTTGAAAACTGAGCGACCGTTTGAGGCTCCATCTACACAACCGCTTCATTCATTCACAGTTTCCTGTGAATGAATAGACTACAAGTACCGGCAGCTGAAGGCTTGTAGTTCTCCACTAACTATGAGGGCACTGGTGAGTGATCTCATGCATCAATGATCTTCCCGTTCTCAAGTAACTTCTTGCCCCTATGGGAGGTTCAAGCAGATATCTATCCTGACCGTCTGCAGGAGCCTGACATTGCACCTGTGATCTAAATATCAATCCAATGTTGCTTCCAATTACAAATCAGAAGATGTGTGAAGATTTGTGTAGAAAGATACAAAAGCATCAGGTATTTCCCCAGTATTAGTGATTTAATGTCCTGTAGAAGAAAGTAAACTAGTGTAACTCCCTCCAGTGTAGATAGGTTTTCTTTGTGTACAGTTAGAGGCTTGCTAGAAGCCTGGGTATGAGTCAACGAGGTTACTTGAGGTTAAGGCTGGAGGGCTCTACAGGTTAGTTCTATGATACCTCTGCCTGCTCTAGAGACTTGGAGAAGTTTCTAGAAGCCAGTAGGCGGGGGTGAGGAAGGACTAATCTGCATACTTAGGGGAATCTGGCCAATCCCCAGACAGGAAGTCTGGTATAGTGGCTAGGTCAGCTCTTAAATATGAGAGAGCCTGGTCAGCAGGGGTCGGGTGGAAGATGGGGTGCCTACAGACTGGAAACTGGAAAGAAGGACCTCCACTGTCTCACAGTCTACTTGGGAAATACAGCTTATCAGCAGGGGAAGAAGCCAGCCCAGCATAAGGACTGAAAGCAGCTTCAATATTTAAAGCTACAGGAACAGGACAGTGTGAGTACTTCTACACCCTCTGGGCCAAAGAAGGGAGAGGGAGGTCAAGTGCAATACCCAACTAGTTCTCTCTGGGACTGCATTATTGGTGTGTCACAAAATCCCTTGCCCTGGGATGCTATCAAAACAGCCAGGTGGATGAGGAGATTTTCATCTGGTGTCTGTGGAGCAATCATAATATTGAAAAAAAAATTATAAAAAAAGTAATACATTTAAAAAAAAAATAATAAAAAAAATTGAATAATAATTAACTACTTGCCAACCGCAGATAGCCGAATGACGGCTACACTGCGGCCGGCCAGTTCTGGGAGGGCGTCATATGACGTCCTCCCAAAACACGCTCTCCTGCACGCCCCTGGGGGCGCGCACCAGGCGATCTCCGTGATCGCTGTGTCCTACGGACACAGCTGATCACGTGATGTGGTAAAAGGCCAAACACAGCGGCCTTTTACCACGTGATCAGCCGTGTCCAATGACACGCTGATCACTAGGAAATGCAATTGCCGGTTCTCGGCTGCACTTTCCTCACGCTGTTAGAGCACGAGAAAGATGATCCGTGCCCTTATGATCAGTGCCCAGCAGTGCCACCTACCAGTTCTGCCCACCTGTACCCAGCAGTGCACACACATGTGCCCAGCAGTGTACCCACCTGTGCCCAGCAGTGGCACCCAGCAGTGCCACCTACCTGTGCCCAGCATTGCCACCTACCTGTGCCCAGCAGTACCGCCCACCCACCTGTGCCCACCAGTGCCACCCACCTGTGCCCACCAGTGCCACCCACCAGTGCCCATCAATGCAGTGCTGCCAGTCAGTGCCACCAGTCAGTGCCCAGTGGTTGTGCAAGTCAGTGCCCAGCAGTTGCACCAGTCAATGCCTAGCAGTGCCGCCAGTCAGTGCCACCTATCAGTGCTGTCTATCAGTACCCATCATCAGTGCTGCCTATCCGTGACACCTCATTAGTGCTGCCTATCAGTGCTGCCTATCCGTGCCACCTCATTAGTGCTACCTATCAGTGCCGTTCAGTGCTGCCTATCAGTGCCCATCAGTGCCGCCTATCAGTGCCCATCAGTGCTGCCTCATCAACACACATCAGTGAAGGAGAAAAATTACCTGTATGAAAAATTTTTATAATAGAAACAAAGAAAATTTTTTTTTCAATTTCTTTGCACTTTTTTGTTTATAGCGCAAAAAGTAAAGCGCCCAGCAGCAATTAAATACCACCAAAAGAAAACTCTATTTGTGAGAAAAAAATGATAAAAATTTCATATGGGTACAATCTTGCATGACCGCGCAATTGTAAAAGTGTGACAGCGCTGAAAGGTGAAATTTGGCCTGGTAAAGAAGGGGGTATAAGTGCCCGGTAGGCAAGTGGTTAAAAAATGTTTTATATATATATTTTTTTTTTTTACATACTGTCACCAGTCAGTGTCTCTGGTCACTGCAAGAACAGTTTTTTTTTTTTAATTTCTGCATTTTCCACAAAATTATGACAAAAAAGACAACTTCAAAAAACCTACCATGCCTCTTATTAACCACTAGCCTACAGGGCACTTATACCCCCTTCCCGCCCAGGCCAATTTCCAGCTTTCAGCACTGTCACACTTTGAATGACAATTGCGCAGTCATGCAACACTACCCATCTGACATTTTTATCATTTTTTTGTGACAGAGCTTTATTTTGATGGTATTTAATCACCTCTGGGATTTTTATTTTTTCTTAAACAAACCAAAAACCACTGAAAATTTTGAAAAAAAAAGTTGTTTCTTAGTTTTTGTTATAAAATTTTGTAAATAAGTGATTTTTCTCCTTCACTGATGTGCGCCAATGAGGCTGCAGTGATGGGCACTGTTAGGCTGCACTGATGGACACTGATAGGTGGCACTGATGAGGAGGCACTGGTAGGTTGCACTGATGGGCATTGACAGGCATCACTGATGGGCACTGAAAGGCAGCACTGATACATGACACTGATATATGGCACTGATGGGTGGCACTGATAGGCAGCACTAACTGGCACTGATAGGTGGCACTGACTGGCACTGATAGGTGGCACTGATGCACACTGATATGCGACACTAACTGGCACTGATAGGTGGCACTGATTGGCAGCACTGATAGATGGCACTGATTGGCATTGATAGGTGGCACTGACTGGCACTGATAGGTGGCACTGATGCACACTGATATGCGACACTGACTGGCACTGATAGGTGGCACTGATTGGCAGCACTGATAGATGGCACTGATTGGCATTGATAGGTGGCACTGACTGGCACTGATGGGTGACATTGAAAGGCAGCTCAGATGGGCACTGATATGTGGCATTGATGTGGCACTGATGGGCACTGGCACGTGGCACTGATGAGCACTGACTGCTGGCACTGATGGACACTGACAGGTGGCACTTCTGGGGCCACACTGATCATCAGGGCACACTGATCATCAGTGCCCTGATGATCAGTGTACATGTCCCCTCCGCGGAAAGCCGATTACCAGCTCTCCTCTCCTCTCGAGCTTTCAGCGTGACAGCTCGAGAGGAGAGAAATGCCGATAACCGGCATTTCCGTGTTTACATGTGATCAGCTGTGATTGGACACAGCTGATCAAATGACCAAGCCGACATCTCGGCTCTTTCCGTGATCCGCTGTGTCCGAGGGACACAGCGAATAAAAAATAAAAACCGCACAGGCAATCAAATACCACTGAAAGAAAGCTATATTCATGGGAAAAAAAAGGACGTAAATTTCATTTGAGTGCAGTGTTGCATGACCACGCAATTGTCAGTTAGTGGTTAATAAAGATACCTGCAGATGAATGTTGCAGGAAAGTGCAATTGCAGGGGCCTGTGAGGATGATCGCAATGCAGTGTCTGTCTTGGTATCGGAGACCTGAAAGCAAGAGCAGCAGTGATGAGGAGATCCTCCAAACATTGTCCAACAAGCCTGAAATGCAGCTTCTCACCAACTGAAACTACAAAGTGGCACTGGATCTAAGAGTTGGCCTATCTACTCTAATAGCTTCTCAAGCTCCAAAGGTCAGTCGAATCAAAAATTGTTGCCAGTCAGTAAACCAGAGGTTTACTGCATGAAGTACTGCATTGTCCAATAATGTGAGCAGGATCATCTACAATTTCAAGGTAAAAGAGAGTAATCTTAGTGAGCAGCTCATGGTCTCATTCAGGTGGAAGATATACATTTTCCGATCTCAGCAACCTGCTCTCTAATACGGTTTTTAAGATTACAGAGCAACCACAAGGATCCATTTTAATAATTTATAGATTTAGCAATTTTTATAGATTCAGCAATTATTATGGATACACCCCCAGAATACGTGGAGTATACAATGTGACGTTTTAGCAATCCAAGCCTTTTAAGCAAGAGGAGATCACCTTTAGGGAATTAGACATGTAAAAAGCTGAGAAATTAAACCAACAGGATAAAGAGCATACGCCAATGGCCTAAACCATAATAGGTATCCAAAACAGAAGGACAAAATAAGCAATGGTATTACAACCGGAAAACCCTGCCTACTCGGTTCATTTGCCCCAGCATAGAAGAGCCTAAAATCCTGTAACAAAACAGTCATGACATAGAACCTTGAATAGATCAACATTACATAGGGGAACCAAACCATATCATCCCCGTCTCACACACTATTGGAGTGGATTAAAAAGGATCACTTCAAAGTGAGACATGCTGTCAGGGTCAAAGGCGCATCCCGAGCATGTGCATAGTACAACCAGGTGGGTTTATTGAAGAAAGCAGCATTCTACAGCAGTGTTTCTCAACCTTTCTTCAGTCAAAGCACCCTTTAAAATTCTGCACAATTTCGAGGCACCCCATTCTAAAATGTAAAAAACACAGCTAATGGTTTTACAAAACACAGCTACATCCGCACACATAGGACACTTAATGTTAGAGGTGATTTATTACTACAAACCAAATACACCTTTGCACACTGGTACTGCCTGGTATTCCATTTCTGTTCTCCCTCAGGTTCTCTCACTCACTCAGCTGATGTGACACCACTGCTGACAGAGAGGGGCAAACAAGCATACTCTGCAGATACCCAACATCCTCCTTATCAACCGATCACATCATTGGATGTTAGAACTCCGATGGCTGGAAGCAGGGCCACCAATAAGGGGGTAGCTCCGGGCCCCCTACAGGAGGCCCAGGCCCTTCTCTTTGACAGGGGGGCCCGGCCAGCCTGCAGCTTATAATCCATTAGTAATATGCATTGCCGCTCATTGCAGTCACTTATAAACACAAAAATCAAAACAGAAATGCAACGAGCGCTGGACAAAGTACAGAAAGCGGCACGCATGAAAGGCAAACACCAAAAGCCTCCAAAATATAAAAATGAACAGAACATGCAGCGCTATTGGAAATTAATCATACATGTAAGAATAGTACATAATAAAAAAAGTGATAAGGCGACCACCGCTAAGTGATGGCCCATCTGAATGTTCACAAATTGGAATAACATAAATATCTCCAACGAGAGTGTTCTTGTGGTACACAGTGCACAATTTCAAAATGAAGTGGTGAAAAAATTGGTGACTTCCGTAACCTTATTCCTCCCACCGAAATGAGTGTAGATTGCACTAACCAGAAAGCGCAATGATAATGCGCATTTGAGTGTTAACCAACTCCTGGTCATCCGTCTACTAAAGCTGGATCCCTGGGAGGGTCATCAGGCTAGCATCAGCTGGGCAGAATATCCTAACCACAGGATCTTCAGATGTCAGGGGGTGTGTACTCGTCTCACCAGCAGGGGGAGATTAACCGTTCCCAGTGTGGCCACCAGATGGTCCCCAAACAAGCCATAAAATGAATTGTTCAGTGCCCGCACTATACAGCAAGGCCAATTTCCTCTGAAGAAATGCTGTCGTACCTTTCTGTTGCAACAACTGGAACGCTGCCTCCTCACACCGGTGTAGGGACAAGGAGGGTATCCCATGAAATTCACTTATAAACACAGATATAATTTATAAGTGACAGCGATCCCGGAGGCACAGTAAAAACCCTCCCTTCCCTCCCTGCATATACAACTGAGGGGGGGTGGGAATGAATGAGGAGGGGACGGGATGCTATTTGACTGAGTGAGGCACACAGCTGTGGCCTCGAACCCGCAGCATCTTCAGAACCCCGCGCCTGCAGCGTGACGTTCTTCTGTAAGTGACAGTACATTGTTTTCTGTGGTGGAGGGGAGCGCTGTGTACTGACAGAAAGAATAGGGGGAGAGGGGCATTCTGTACTAGGCAGGGAGAAGATAACTCTGCACTGAGGGAGGGGTCAGAAATTTGGGGGGTGAGCTCCGAGGGGAATTGTACACTGGCATATGAGATATGCACACCTCCACTATGTACATAACGCACTCCTGAATGGTGCACGTGGCGCACTCCTGAACGGTGCACGTGGCGCACTCCTGAACGGTGCACGTAGCGCGCTCCTGAATGGTGCACGTGGCGCACTCCTGAACACTGCAGGCAGTGCACTCCTGAATGCTGCACATGGCTCACTGCTGAACGCTGCTGGCGGTGCACTCCTGAACACTGCACATGGTCCACTCCTGAACGCTGCATGTAGTGCACTCCTGAACGTTGCACGTAGCATACTCCTGAATGCTGCACATGGTGCACTCCTGAACGCTGCATGCAGCGTACCTGCACTCTGAATGTAGTGCTCTCCTGATCCCTGAACTGTGTATGCAGCACACTCCTGGGTCCTGCACTCTATACACTGCCCACTCTGTACATAGCGCACTCATGGACCTTGGCCCCTGTATAATGCACACTCTGAACACAGCGCACTCCCAAACCCTGCCCTCTGTACACTGCGCACTCCTCAGTCCTGCAATCTGTTCGTAACACACTACTGAATTCTGCACTTTGTAGCACACTCCTCAATTCTGCACTCTGTTATCAGCGCACTGCTAAAACCTTGCACTCCAACTGTAAAACACTTCTCAACTTTACACTCTGTACATAGGACACCGCTGAATTCTGCACTTTTTTGGGTAATACACTGCTGAATCCTGCACTTTGTATGTCGCACACTCCTGAACTCTGCATTCTGTATGTAGCACACTGGGGGGGGGGGTGGTAATGATGTTGATAGCGAGTGGTGCGATGGGGGGGGATTGCTTCTGCACCTATTTTCTGAGAAAAAAGCCCTGTAGCCTCATTTACACTTGTATTTGTAATTGCTCTCCCTTCTACTGGATGCATTTGAAAACAAAGATGCATTTTATTTTGAGACAGGGGAGGTCAAAGTGGGCCACGTCAGGTAGGCTGTATGGGGCCCCATGATTCCTAACAGTGGCCCTGGCTGGAAGGTTGTAATGGAATGAAAATGGAATGCGATGAAAACCTGTGGCTTTGTATAACTAAAAGGCAGGCTTGATTCACCTGCTGGCTTGTATACAATTTTTGGCCTATTTTCAAGCATTTTGCCAAGCCACCCCTAAGGAAACCGTAGGGCACCCTGGTTGAAAAAGGCTGTTCTAGAGCAGCCACCAAGGGACATCAACATAGAGTAGAATGGGTAGGTTGCCAACCAGTAAATAAAGTTTCTAAGTAAGCAAGTCAGCAGTGACTGAAAAGATCAAATTATCAAACATGTTGAACAGAGTGAGCCTGATTGGTGAATGCAATGTGCCCTAGGTTATAAAACCAAAGCACAAATATAAAAAGACAAATGAGAGATTGAGTAGAGAGAGGGTGCCAGCTAGTGGATACAGTAGGGATCACTCAGGACTTTTATAATACAAACAAGGAGGCACCTGTGTAAATATACTGTAGCTCAGTGGTCTCCAAACTGCGACCCGGAGGCCGGATGCGGCCCTTTGCTTGCTTTTATCCGGCCCTTAGGGCATTATTCCCCCCATCAGCAACAGTGGGGCATAGTTCCTGCCACTGACCCCAACAATGGGGCACTATTCCTTCCACTAACACCAATAATGGGGATTATTCCTCCCACTGACACCAATGATAGGGCACTATTCCTCCCACTGACACCAATGATAGGGCACTATTCCTCCCACTGACACCAATGATAGGGCACTATTCCTCCCACTGACACCAATGAAAGGGCACTATTCCTCCCACTGACACCAATGATAGGGCACTATTCCTCCCACTGACACCAATGATAGGGCACTATTCCTCCCACTGACACCAATGAAAGGGCACTATTCCTCCCACTGACACCAACAATGGGAAACTATTCCTTCCATTAATACCAGTGACGGGGCACTATATCTCTTGTTAATACCAATGATGATGCATTGTTTACTCCCACTGATGTCAGGACATATTCTTCTCCCACTAGCCACAGTCCGGCCCCCCTAAAGTCTGAAGGACAGTAAACTGGCCCTCTGTCTATAAAGTTTGGAGACCCCTG